CATCATTCTTGGTAGGTGCAGTGTGAAATTGGCTGTTTGAAGTTTGGGAAGGAGGCAGAGTGAGCGTCTCACGTTGAATCGCCCAAGCCTAATACAACGCTAGTCTACGTTTGGACTCGCGCTATTTACGCGCTTGAAAGAGATTTGGTGCCACAATGGATTACTACAAGAGGAACTACCAAGGAAGGACTCGGCGGTGCTCTCGCATGTATATACGTTTGGACCTTCGACCCAATTTCCCATCATCATGCTTGATCGCCCCTTCTACACAGATAGGCGTGTTGCAACTACCATATCAAAAAGAGCTGTGCCGAGCGCCCACCGCCGGCAAAGACGTGTCAGTTGTCTCGATACGAACGATTGAAGATGGCGACTCTGGGATGCCACCATTGTCAAAGAGTATACAGCGTACCTTTTATTTCTACACTCTCAGCCAGATCGTGCTTTAGCGCTTGTAAGACTATGTTGCCAGAGCGAACAGTATCTCAGGCATGATAATAATGACAAAGGTGTTAGCATACCTACGTGTTACGAGTGGTATGTGTAGTATATCAAGTATAGAAACATGAAAGCGCGTTTGTTTACTCGTGAGAAGAGAATTCGAGAGGTGCAGCGCCTTGAACGCTGTTTGGTAAGCATAGAAGATGAAAGAGGTGCGTTTGTGCTGAAAAATCTTATGAGGAAAGAGAGACAAATTGTTCCCTTTATACTTGGGCATAATGACATCTATGAAGTCGAATATGGGGCCACTTTTCCAGGATGTAGTAGAGTGGAGGGGGGATTTCTGCAGAAGAAGAGACGTGCAAACAGACGTAGAGCATTTGAGTGAGTGAGCAGCGCCACATGGTGCAAGAAGAACAAGTGGAGTTGATTCTCTTCATAGAGATAGTAACTTCTCAATACGCAATGATGGATGAAGAAGATTGCATCTCTTGATCTTCGAAAAATCCTTGAATATCATAAAGTCATCTCCATCGCCGGAAACTGAACGTCTCTCTAAGGCTTCCAAAGACGCCCACCAGTTGCTAAGAAAGTGGATTGTGCCTTTGCATCGCGGCATAGACACCGTCACTTGCTGGCCATCTCGTGCCCATGTCAGCTTTCGAGATCGATCAAACGCGCTGAGAGACGAAACCGAAGACAAGGAAAGCGCAATTGCAACGATACCAAGTGAGACGAGTGAGCCTGGGAGTCCTCCACGACTAACTAGTAATTCCAAATATCAACTCAAGTTTTGCCTTGCACTTTCCGAAACTTCTTCAACTCTTGCAATCCACTCCTCGTGGCCTGTAGGCTCTTCAAGTGTGGATTTTCCACCTCATCGAGTTGGTCTACGTTCTCGGCAGTACTTCCGGGTTGCCGACACTTAGAAGGCACCTCAAGGCGCTTCTTCCTCAGCTCTCTCCTCGTCTTTTTTAGCCGCGGAGACGTCTGCTCTAGCTCTGTGCATCTGTGCTCTTGTTAGCTGGCGTCATTCGTAATGGACTGAGTACCCAAAGATTTGTCTGACCTTCCCGGACTAAATAGCCATTCCGTCAATATTTTGTCCTTGACTGTACTGCCTCTCTCCAAGTCTTCCCTGATCTTGACCAGGTATCCGATAGCTTCTCTCACCTCCGATGTGGGCTTAACGCATTGCTTGAGAGCTCTTAGCATGACTTTGCAGTCAACGAGAGAGCTCAGACTCGAGCAGATATGGGCTTTGTCATCAGAGCGTCCACAGAATGCGCAAAACCCTCGTTTGCTGTTCTCCCAGAAGCATTCCACCAACCGGATATCGTACTCCGCAAGTGCGTGGAAAGCTTCGTATGAGAGGATACCACCGAGCGAAGTGATAGCCTTGCTGATTTCGCTGCGTATATTGTCTGTAACCAGCAGTTGCCGCTTCTTTTCTTTCATGCATGGAGGATTGTGCGTACACTTCACAGGAGAGTTGAAGCATCCATTGCGGCCGCAGTTAATCGGCCCGCTCTCCACCGTAAAATGCCTCCAGTTGCAGCAAGTCCAATTGCCGCAGAGGTGGCTTAGGTGCCAGGATTTGTTGATAAACCCGTCCATCTGGTCATCTGTCAGCTGTTGGCGAACGACCAGAGCTACAATCCCCCAATCGACGGTTAGCCTGTGGAATCCATGATCGTCACTCCAATTGAAACCGAAGGAGATCGCCCTTACAGGCTTCCCATTGAACTGTGGTGGCGTAGGATGCAGTCGACAGTCGTCATTCGATCCAGACATGTCCAGGAGCTGGTAGATATCAGAGAGATACTTCTTCGTCGCTGCTTTCATGCCTTCAGTTGGAGTATGGATGAAGAAATGCTTCCGCTCCACGACGGTCATAGAGTCTGTTTTGAGGTTTCGTGTAGTCTTTCGCGTAGCGCTGTCCGAATCTTCATCGGCGGTGTAATGCGCAGGAGGATCATGCCACGAGCGCCGTAGGTCGAGTTGGGATTTCTTGTAGCAGCCATTGGCTTCTCGATCGGACGGCAAGACACCGAATTTCCCGCTGTCGCTCAGTGCCTGTGTCTCATGACCTGAAACGTAAATTGCCGTAGTAGCTGGCCATACTGGATCATCTAGCACTCGGACATTAAGTAACTCTTCCGATTTCCTGTACTGCGTGGATGGAAGGTGAGGAACTTCATTGTATTCTGAGCGCTTTCGTTTTCCGATAGTCGAATTGAAAGTGGTCGCTGATCCGAAGTCCTCCCCAACGAGCTTCCTTTTCAAGGTTCCACTGGAGCCGTCGAAGCTCCCTGGGATTGACACAAAAGGTTGCCTGAACATGTTGGCCTTCGTGCCACAGTAAGAAGCCACAGCGTAGGTCAGTAACACATATAGGGGTGGAAATTGTAGAGGCGTGTCTGGGAGCAATTGTGAGGACGTAAGATGAGCGCGAGCTAACTGTGAGAGGTTGTTGGATAATTCTAGGAATGCAAACGGCAGAAGAAAGAATCTGATTCGAGTGGTATCCGAAAGTAGAAATCTAATCTATTCGTGAGCTTCCTACAATACTTTGACGGGGTTTAATGGGTTCAGGGCAACTCACCTGCGTGCTAGCACCAATCAACCGTACGCTAAAGGCATCGCTGCACCAAAGTGGCGCCAGAGAGAGGAGAGGTGAATGGAATCTAGGATGTCCCAAAGGATAGCTCAGAGAGAGATGAGCTATACCAAAGATAGCAAACAGGGACTGTCAATGACAAAGAGAAGTCGAATCGAGCTAAAGAAACGAGTAGCATGGGCAGATGGACCTCTGAAGGTCTCTGAAGGCCAACCCAATCAGACAATGAGACGAAGAATAGCCTCAGTTCCGCATGATGGGAAATGAGAAGTGTCCAAGAGGCAGGAACTAATGGAAATGTCACGAGTAGAAGTAAGGACATTTGCCAAGGTGAAGAAATGTCCAACAGCAGGAAGCATTCCGCGCACCGTAACATTTAGACGGGAGACCGTCACATTAGATCCTTTTCTAAGCAACGGCCGGGGCCCCAGACGATAATCCGCAGAGACCTGCTTCCAGCGAAGTAATTAGTGTGTCTCCATGACAGAAGCTGGCATCGGAGCCGAACAGTCCGTATTGAGTGCCCCAAGAGAAGCTCATTATCTTGCATCCATAGCCCCAGAGAAGCCAACGTGGTCACGCCCAAGAGATTGCCCGTAGCAATGACGTTGGACCCTTCAACATAGGCCCGTCACGCTCATTGTAAAACGGCACGATACTGGACATCTTTGGCGCGAGCCTCGTAGCCGCCTGCTTTGCTTTGAGCTGGTCCGTAAATCATCGAGGCATGGCTGCAGGCTGTTTGAAACACAGAAAGTCGTACCACAAACCCCACGCCTTCGATCGACCGCACCTTTCGATATCACCACAGCCGCTAGCACCTCCGGACCGCGTCGGCATAACAATATCACTCCTCCCCAATCCCAGCCCTCAGAGCCGTCAACACACTTCCTTTTGAACCGAATACATCTCCCCTTACCGGTGACGCCGCCGTTCCCTCTCACGTATACGCTTTGCAGCACACACGCCATGTCCAACGCGAAAAGAATTCCCCGCGCACACGGCACGAACCTACCCTCGATACCCAGCCTACTCACTCGTCCAGGCAAGGAGACAGGGCTCACTCTTCCGCAATCTCAATTCCAGTCCAGCGATGCTATACGCCTTAACGAGTAGGGGTAGGTAAACCCGGACCCTTTCCCTGGCCTCTGCCCGCCCGCTCACTCGCTCGTTCGTTCGCTCACCGCCCTACCTTCCTCCCAACTACCCAACTACCCAACTGCAAACCCCATCGCCCGCACCACCGATGATGGAACCACTCAATACGTGACGGGAGTAACAGCGTCCCGGATTCGATGTTTACGACCCGATGGTACCTCCGACTCGATCCCTGACAAAGTTACCGCAGCCATGCACCGTTCATGCATCCGTGTTGCACGAGAAAGAAAGTGGTCTTGTTGTGTGGATGAGCGGGGTGATGATGAGCAATACCAAGTGGGGTGCTTGAGAGAGGGAGGGAGGGAGGGAGGGAGGGAGGTTATAACGTGACGTGTTGGCGTCGAGTAGCCGGGCGAAAGAGAGCGAGAGATATAGATAGACCATGGGCAGGTCCACCTACGCACGGTTGTGTAGTACATATGCATCGCAAGAGGGCACCGGCGAACCATCGCTGCGATCGGATTGGAGCGGCGAAGTTTGGATATCTATCGTGTTTGAAGAACCACGTGGGCGCGGTGACGGAGATCTGTCGTTGTCGTGTAAAGTGGAGTATGCATGCTGCTATCCCGAGTTTAGAAGCGTGCACTGATTCGTCGATTTAAGTCGTTTGGCTATTACTTTTGTCATTACTATTACCACCACCATCACTACACCTAACCGCACTCCTCGCTCGCATCCCTCCACAAGTATCTCCATCCCGCTAACACCCCAGTCCTCTCCACCCACGAATCGCCAAACCCTCCAAGCCCCCAAAACACCGCCCCCTCAATCAACCAACCAATCAATCATACTCCCAAACCGCCACCCCCCCATACTCCACCCCCCCGGCCTCAAACGCCAAACACCCCGTCTTCCCCCCCCGCTTAAGATCCGCATACACCAACCACGGCCCCTCCCCGTCGCCGTCCCCGCTCTCCGCCGCGACCGGACAGGCGAGCCAGCCCTTCGACGGCGTCCCCGCGAAGGTGAAGGATCGGGCGTCGCGGTCGTAGGCGAAGCCGGCCGGGTAGGCGGTCGAGGCGGCGACGACTTTTTCTTCTTCGTGGGCGGCGGTGAAGGAGAGGGTGCCGTCTTTGGCGACGTAGATGGATTGGCCGAAGGGGACGTGGGTGTCCTGGATGGGTTGGGGTTAGAAGAGGGATGGTAGGGAGGTCAGTTGGGGGGGAGGGGCTAAGGTGGGTGGGCTTGCCAGAGTGGCGTATCCGTCGCCTGATACCACCACGGCTGTCTCGGTCTCTGTTGGGCAGTCCGTTTTCGGTTCTGCGGGACAGGATGAGGAGGTTGCTTTGCCGAGCCAGAACTGGCCGTCGTTGGCGTTCAAAGTGGACAGGTGGATTGGGAAACCGAGCCTCAGGGCGCGGAGGACGAAGGGAGTGCTTGAGTTGGACTGGAGGGGGGAAACGGGGATGGCGGAGGAGAGGAAGGGAAGGAGAGCGAGGACAACGATGGGGTACATGATTGTGGGGATGGAGTGGCTAGCTGCTGTTGTAGGTGGATGGTAAGAGAAGGCAGCAAGATGTTGGTGATTTTGATGTAGTTTATATATCTCGCTGGCGGGTGGCAAATCACTCTTGTACGTAGCACGGCCACAACAACGCACGTGGGAGCTTGGGAACTGTATCTAGATTTACATGTCTCGGCAACGGCCTCACGGCAAATGTCGATATAGGACGTCGGGAAGGTGGGAAGGTGAAGAATGTTAATCGGTCGTCTTAGGTCGGGCCTAGATGAATCCCCTGGAAGACTGATGCGAATCTGAATTGCCATGTCTCGGCAGCGGCCTCACCACAAATATAGGACGTTCAGCGGGGTGAATCCTTCGGCCTCATGGTCCGTGGAGAAACGACGGTTAAGATGGTGTAAGGGATATCTTCTCGGGGTTTGGAATGTGGGTCACGCAACAGCGAAGTCTGAGCGCCGGATCGAAACAGTCCTCTCTTCGCCATTACTTTTCGTCACGGAACCTGCGTCCAATCTTCCAAAACGAATACTGTCGAGTAGCTTAGAATCTCTCCTTATATCTTTGAAATAGGGAGTATCGAGTTCGAGCGGCGCCAAATCGGGTTTTAAAGGTCGCGTATGACGGGTAAACCGACGAATGCTATGTAGATGCCCAAGGATGCGATTAATTCGTCATTTCTGTATGGGGAAGTCCAAGTATGATATAACGTCAAATCGAATGTTTGACAACATGGACAGTGAGAGACCAAGTACGTTCGAAGATCTCTCGTTCCCAGTTCACAAAGAATCGTGACCACACAACGTAGATAGATTGCGCGGAGGGGACTTTAGCTTACGACATGTTGACTCTTCACACCATCATTCGACTTTTGTAAACCATATCTTATCATCGCCCATCTCCGGCTGCAGCTGCAAACCTAGCTCTTTCACCGCCCCATTCTCCCCAAGCCGGAACTCGGCCTTTGAGACCATATCGCGCATAGGTTCGTAGTCGCCCGGCTGCCTTGTCTCTTCGAGGATTCGGATGTAAATCACAAAATATTCGCCGCTGGCGTGCGTAAAATCGATTGAGACGGGTCCACTCAACATATATGAGTCAGTGTGGAGTATCTCTTTATGGTTCGCCCCTGCCATATGCAGGCTCGGATCAAGGTTGGTTTTGGTGATGAGTGTAAAATTGGGATAACCAAGGTGCGTGTATCTCTGATGATAAGTTAGCTTCTACCACGGTGTACTCTTGGGACGTGCATAGAGTCGTACCCCGGTATAATGACTCAAAGACAAAGTCAGTGGAATAGCATTATCTCCCAGGGGTGCATCCGCATATAGGTGTTTTGTAGGATCCCTAAGAACCTCTGTTGCATTCCGAAGGTCCCAGTCGATGGTAGCACTCCAGGAGAGCCGCTCACTCTGCGGTGTCCCAAGCAGATCGTCAAGCAATTGGTAGGACAGGATCTGGTGAGTGATCTTGCCACCTTCCATATCGTTGGCCATAATAGTAAACCCCCAATTTCTTCGTGGTAGGTAAGCCATCATGGTTGCGAAACCGCCGAGGCTACCAGTATGCCATAACATAACCTCTCCACGATAGTTGCTAATGAACCAGCCCAGCGCATATCCGTGGACGACTCTGAGTCCTGTGTTTTGGATGCCAAAGGCAGGTATATTGATCCGCGGAAAGCGCAGGGAGTTATGTGCAGCCTGGGAGAGTGGAGCAGCCATAGTCATCATGCACCGGAGCCACTTGGCGTAGTCTAGTACATTGGATATTATTGCACCAGCTCCAGAGACAGCATCCGAATCCATGTAAGATACGCTGCGATATTCCTGGGTTCGATTAAGCCATACGTATCCTCGAGCTAGGGAAGCGTTGCCGGTATACGTAGCTGCTTTAGAATCCGATAACGAAAAGAAGGTATCCTTCATGCCCAAAGGCTCCCATATGCGATCCCGGAGGATGTTACTCAGCCAGTTGCTTGTATAAGTCTCAATGAAGTGTGTGATAGTGATGTACATCAGGTTGCAGTATTGCCATTTTGTGCGTGGCTCAGCCGTCATCCGCAGATGACGAAGCTTCCGTACTGCATCGCGAACTGTAGTATTAAGGGTCCCCCAACTCAGGTCATGGTCAGGCATGCCGGTTCGATGGGAGAGAGCATCCTCGAGGGTAACGTGTGAGGTGGCCCACTCGTCGGGCAACACGAAGTCTTCGCGAATGAGGGAGGAAAGAGGAGTCTGCCATGTCAGAGGATTGCTGGAATTGGCAGTGTCGTCGATGAGAAGGGAGACAGCTGCGGCGGTGAAGGACTTTGTCGTTGAGCCTGTGTAGAAGAGGGTGGAAGGTGTGACCTTCTCGTCAGGGAAGGTCGCGATGCCGTAGCCCTGTGAATTTTAGTGGGCCTGTTGCCTGAGCCATTGACGAGCATACTTTGCTGAACGTCTTATCGCCAGCTACCACAGCAACCGAAATGCCTGGAGTATGCCAGTAGTCCAGAGTATCTGTGACGAGCTTATCGAAGTCTGGGGTGAACGGGGAAGCGTCGGGAGCAGTCAATGGGATCTGGTCGGCACCAGACAAGGCGGAGAGGCCGAAAAAGAAGGCTACTTTGGGGAGCAACATTTTCAAAGTGGGTTCCCCAATAGGCGAGCAAAACCGTGGGCCAGGTGGTTCAGACAACAGGGTCGACAATTGTAACTTTGTGCAGACATGAAAGACGGAGCGATGGCCACACTTTTTGTAAGTGGTGACGGACTCTGGGTCGTCAGCCTATTTGGCTCCTATTTGGCCAGTGAGCGAGCCATTGAGCGATCTTTGCTCGCAAAGTCCACCCAAAGTAACCAAGCTCAATGCGAGGTTGATCCTGCCGTTGCTCGCTGGGTATGGAGATTGGAGATTGGAGATACATAGCAATAGAATACCAGGCTAGCAGCGGGGTCTCCATTACAACACTAGTGGTGAAATACGATTAGCGTCTCTTGGCAAAGTATGCATGAAGCAGAGCTGGGATACAACTAGAACAACTATCCATAAGGTAAGTACGCCTTATTAAATACCGTTCAGATCACAGCCGAGCAAATTCGTTAGAGAAGGTCTCCACATGGCATTTGAGGTACAAAACAATCAAACCAATTTTCCATCCTCAAGCCATGACCCATCACTCAAACAAAGCCTCATGTCGCAAACCATTCCATCACGACCCGCAAGCTATCACGTTCAACATCACAGTCTCGCTCTCCCCGTGGTCTCGTACGTCCCCTGATGCCACACCGGCACCTCCATCTTCAGCGCGTCGCCACTGTACCCGAGGTCCTCCGCGATCAGCATAGCGGCCTTCTCGCCAATCAGCAGCGCCGTGCTGTAAGTGTTGCAGCCGACGTTGTCGGGGCAGATGGACAGGTCGGCGCATTTGAGGCCTTTGACGCCGTGCACGTTGAGGCGTTCGTCCAGGACGCCGTGTTTGACGATGGAGTTGCCTTCGCGGGGGGCCATGGAGCAAGTGCCGAGGCCTGGTGAAGGGGTGATCAGCTTACGTATTTGGATTGTGGGACTGTGAATAGGTCAGGCATGGAGAGGAAAGGGAGGCTCACTGTGCCAAGTAGTCTCCACGTGGCGCTTGACCCACTCTTCAACCGCCGCAATATCCTCTTTGGTGTACTTGAGATCTTCTCTGATATTGGCCGTCTGGCTGCTCGTGACGAAGCTGTCCTTGGGCGCTTTGCCAGGCTTGGTGTGGATGGACCAGCTACCGTGCTGGATGCCTGCTGAGAGGTGGTTGGGGCCGCCGTAAGCCTTGGTGTCTTGAAGGTTCAGGTCTTCGGAGCGGGCTGGGGAGTCGTAGCCGAAGAATCTGTGGTGCGGATCAGGTCTTAGCAAGAGCATGAACGAAAAGGAGAAAAGCGAGCGATGACTTACGGATGCTTATCAGTGACCTCTCCAGCATACGCGTCCATACGACGAGCCGTCTCTCGGGACTTAATGTAGCCCCAGACCATGGGTGCCATATCACGCTCGTCGTTCATGAAGCCGGCGTCGAAGTCTGGAGCATCGTATGGATCAGGCGAGAGGATGTGCGTGCTGCCGCGCGAGAATGGATATTCCAAGAAGTGGAACATGGAGAAGAATTTGCCCTGCGGCATGAGCATGTGATCTCCGAAGAAGCTGCGTCGCATTAGCATGAGACTGTCCGGCTGTTGGACAGAGGGGAAGATAGACTGACCCAGAGATGACGGAGTAATGCATGACAGGCTTGTCAGGCTTGTGCTTGAAGTAGCTGTCCCAGCCGGGACGGAATTCCTTCATGTAGTCCTGGGACAGCTCCTCCTCGGTAGGTCTGACCTTGACGCCGGCTTCGATGCCATTAGTGGCAAGCGGACCCGTGCCATTAAGTTGCCACTGGTCATAGACCTTCTTTTGAGTCTCGGGATCACCCCTGATAAAGTCATCGAAGCTCTCAGTGTCAGGCTTGGCACGGTAGGCCGAGAAGGTAAGGTAGTGGTCTTGGAAGTTGAGACCAACGCCGGGCAAGTCAACTTGGCATTTCACGCCGGCTTTCTGGAGTTTCTGGGGATCTCCAATGCCAGATCGCTGGAGCACCAACGGTGTGCTGAGAGTGCCGCAGGAGATGACGATCTGCTTGCGGGCTTTGATGACTTTTTCCTGTAGCTGGTTTGCATCAAGCTGCTTCATGGGCACCGTGCGGATCGCTGTGGCACGGCCATTCTCGAGAATGACTCTGTCGATCTTGGTGTTGCACATCAAGTAGAGGTTGTCATGGTTCCTATTCTTCTCAGTCAGCGAACTGTTTGGCATGAGCAGGGGCTGGTTCACCTCATGTTCGAATGGATGTATCCATGGGCTGAGTCCGAACGACGGCCCGTGTCCCTGTTGATCCATTTGAGCCAGTGTTCAGCACCGTGCCCGGTCGTCAGGTCCTCCAGATCGTCGGTGGTGGGGATGCCCTGTGATTCAGTGGCACGTAGAAAGTCCCATGCAATTGGGTACGTATAGTTGCCAAATGAGACCTTGATAGGACCCTCGAAACCATGAATGTCACGATTATTACAGGAACGCTGGTACGTCTCATGCTTTTTCATCAGTGGAATGAGTTCCTTGGTCTTCCATCCCTCGGCCTGGAAGTCATCATAGTCGGAGGCACTAGCTCGTGTGTACATCATCTGTGCTCAAGTTAGCATCGGCCGCTCCGCCAATGTTCTGGGCAGCCCACGAAATTGATACTAGATCCGCCGCCGAGGATGTTGGCACATGGCACAATAGCCCTACGTCCACCCAACCATTTGGAAGGTCTCGAGTGGTAGAAAGAAGCGGTCTTTGAGTCGAGCTTCATGTTTTTGGGGTATATGCCAGGCCTATGTGGATCAGTCACGCATCCTATGCGAATGCTAAGAAAAAGCGTACATTGGAACCCATGGATTGTTGAGGTTGTTCTCTCCTCCCTCGATCAACAAGACCTTGAGGTTCCTGTCGAGGGCCGCCAGTCGACCAGCGACGACACACCCGCACGAGCCTCCTATAGAAGTCGTCAGCCCCTATCCAAGTCCTGCCACTGACTACGTCGATCTTACCTCCGGCCACGATAATGTCAACCTCATCTGGGATCGTCATGTTGGAGGTATTCAGTGATACCGGTGTAAGGGCCTAATGGATTGGTTCGTCCTCGTTGATTATTCAGGAAATGTAACAGGCTTCGAAAGGAGCGAGAGGAGTATCATATATGACACTCTCGGACGTGGAGAAGCCCCACCTTCGGCCATATGGATTTGCGGAGGGATGAGCACCTTGCATAAGCTCTGACCAACCCCGCGAAGCCTCGTCAGCCTGGATTGGCATCTCACATTTCAATGCAGTGCATTTGGCAAAGTTAGATTGTGGGGTTCTCCGCGTCCAAACCGACAGTGTCCGATTATAGCAAGAAGCGTGCGAGTGCTGCAAGACTAGCATGGTTCCAAACCCACCTAGGCAGGCCCGACTCGAAGATGCTGGGAATGTTCAAAGAAGCACGATTGGAGGGGTTTGTAACTCTGTCAGGCATTGGCCAACGAGGGAAGAGCTTGGCATTGGTAGTGGATGGAAGAAAGGCCGCGTCGATCATGTTAGCAACGTGGGGAGGCTTAACAAGTTACAAGCAGAATAAAGTCGGCAAAATAGGAGCATATGCATGGCATCAGAGACGGAGGAGGATGCCGCACGAATTATAATAGGTGAAGAACACTTCCCCGCATTGGATCCAACGTCTCGAATCCTGGGGAAGTGGGGTAGGGTTGAAGTTCTAGGACTTTGGCGAAGATCTTCTCTTCTTGTTGCATGGCAAAATATCCGAAAAGTAAGAGAGCATTGACTTTCAAGGCAACCACCAGGTCGATCGGCTCAGGGTAAGAATAGAGGCTGGCTCCTTGAGAAAAGGCCCTCATCTTCGACAACCAAAAGTATGAGCGGCCGCCACAATTCCTTCGTCTGCTTCGCGGAAACGCCAATCCAACCCGGAGGATTCAAGACCACCATGGTCAATTCAAGTCCTTTTGAGGAGCGTATCCCAGAGCCGACTCGAGTACTTCGGAGGAGAAAGGCGTTTCGTCAAGTGTCAGAAAGCGGGGCAAGGGGGAAATACGGCACGGCAGCTAGCGAAGCGGTTGTTGCGGGGAAATCATCCACATACCTTCCCATCCACGCCATCTTACCTCAACCCCTTTCTTTGTGAAGTTTGTGATCCCACGCCTCGGAAAGGATCGTCCGAGTTGGGCCGACGTGACGGTGCTGGCTGCGTACGTAGAGTATGAATTATTATTATTATCATTATTGTAGAAAAAGACAAAAGTGCACACAGAGAATCCCGCTCGGGTGGGTCGACTCGATGCGAAGAGCCAGCCAGCCAGCCATCTAGCCGGCTTAGACCCCGGCTCCCCCCTATCTCTCAAGAGTGTCATGTCCCCACCATGGCAACTGGGGCCGTCTTCGACCCGCTCAACTCGCTGCGACAGACCTCGCCCACGAACCGGCTCCTCTTCGCCGTTACGTGCTCGCACCCGCGAATACTTCCGGACCGGAGCGAGGATTTTCGTATTCGTACTGTGAGAGAGGATGAGTTTTTATTCGGACTGTGAGAGAGTATGGGTGTTTATTCGTACTGTGAGAGAGTATGAGTTTTTATTCGGAAGAGGCTGGGGATAGGATTGAGGGGATTCGGCTTTGATGCTGTTGCGCGCGGATAGGGTGGGATGGGTCGGTAGGTAGGTATGTTTTTTGGGTAAGTCCCTCGGCGAGAGGTTATGGATCACGTATATGGTTCTCTCGTGTTCTTCAGAGTCTGGTATGATATGTGCTGAGGTGTGTCTAATGGCTTTTGAAGTACGAGGATGGGTATGTGATGATGGGAGGGACGGAGTGTGTATGATAGGTATTGATAAGTGGCAGGGAAATATACCCATTGAACCCCCTTCACAGGCCAACCACTCGGCGAATTGACAAACAACGCATGAAACCTCCACTCCCCTCCCGGATCCGCGAGACGGAGATCGAAACCGCGCGTCCGCGTCGCCGTGATCTTGTTGAGCTCGACGTTCGCGACGTTGCGGCCCGGACAGGCGTCGTAGCCGAGACCGAACTGGGGCGATCCCGTCAGATTCGATCGCGGGCTTGAGTGGAAAGGGAACAAGTCAGAGGGCATACGGGGATCGGGAATTTCTCCATTCGCTTCACGGTCGCGGCGGCACCGAGCTAGCGCTTTGGGTTGTAATTGTTGGCGTCTTTGCCGAAGCAGGCCGCGTTGCGGTGGATGAGCCAGGGGTTGACGCTCAGGATGGTCTGGGATCTGTTAGCGGAGGGGACGGCGAGAGAGAGAGAGAGAGAGAGAGAGAGAGAGAGAGAGAGAGAGAGAGAGAGAGAGACTCTTACGCCGTGAGTGAAATGATGGCCTGCGACGGTGAGACTCTCTCTGGGCACCACGCGTGGCAGATTCCACGGTACGCCTGGGTAGAGACGAAGAGACTCTTTGCTCTACCGGAAATCAGCCCACCGTTCAGGACCTCCGGACGTTGACACCAATGGCCCATACGCAAGCTTGTAGATACGGCAACTTCAGCGCCTCCGCGTTCGAGACCACCGGAGACAGTAACCCTGCCGCCTGAGCGGTGTCGATTTCTTCGCGCAGGCGTCGCAGATGGACGGGGTTTTCTTTCAGCAAGTAGTAAAAGAAAGCCTGCGGGACCGATCCCACCGTGTCGCCACCGGCGCCCAGATTGCTGATAGCTCTTTGGGTTGGAAATCGAGCCAGCGGAGAATGGGATTGCTGAGGAGGAGGGCGTGTAGCCACTGCGCGTACGCGGTCGACGTGACGTAGAGGGCCAGGCCGAAGTTGTTCTTGATTGAGTTTCCGATGTCGCGGCCTTGGTCGAGGAAGCCGACGCGCGTGGAGAACATGACTTCGCCCATGATGTCCCACGTGAGAAAGTGGAGCCAGAGGCCGAATTCAAAAGGCTTCTTCTGCTGGCTGAGCTCGTCGAGGCGCTGTTCCAGCAGCTGGATTGTCTTGTCCATGAACGGTTCGCTTTTCATCACGCTTGAGCCCGAAAAGCCAGATGCCAGGTTGCTGCGCATTGTTGCGTATTTCTTCGGGTCACACTCGGACGTGAGGCTGTTGTAGGTACTGTTGGGTACTGCGAAGAGTTTGTACCAGTCTGATTTCCACAGTGGGGCCGCAAGGATCTGGAAAGCTTCTGGGTGGTCGACACTGACTTCGTTGTAGCTGATGCGCACAAAAGGTCCTGACGACATCAGCAGCGAGTACGATGAATTACGATAGGTATCATGCCGTGTTCTCGGTGGAGGTGAGCAAGTTTCTCATTGAAACGGCCCCTACAAATCTCCCAGAGCTGGAAGCAGGTGCCAAAGGTACCCAAAACAGGACCGGGTATATCGCAGATGACGGAGAAATAGCGCTGTCGGATGAGAATGAACAAGACAAGTAAAGCCAGCCCGTAGATCACAAGCTGCACGAAACTCATATCGCCCAGCACCGGTATACTGACCGTAGTGGCCATACGAGAAATGGTTCAGAATCACAATCAGGCGGTCCAGTGTAGACCTCTATATATTTGCCCCCCATCTCGATCAGGTATCTGGGAAAAGCTGCCCTTTTATCGTGTTCGCATATGATTGCCAACGATTGATAAGCGATATACTATCGTCTTTAATATCTGACCAAGACAAAAGAGAACAGTAACACAAAAATAAACCTGTCAAGAAGAAATCCAAGCTTTATTCCCCTTAGCGTAAGGTAATCTTCAACCATCGGATTTCGACATGGCGAATAACATCCGACACCTATCACCATTGATGTACATTAGACCACCCCATAGGATCAAACTCTGTACAGTAACCACATAGCATACACGCCAAATATCTCCGCACCCCTCCTCCCCCCTCCCTTCTCCCACTCGATACATTCCATTTTCCACCCAACAATCGCACTCGGAACCCCAAAAACCCTCACCTGTAAAGATCGTAGCGCTTGATATCGCGAACCCGAATATCCTCTAACATTCGGAATCGATGGAAGTATTGTAGTGAACAGATCGACTGAGACGAAAGGACCCAGGACGTCAATGCTAAGAAATTGCCTTTCTCTTCTCTTCTCTTCTCTTCTCTTCTCTTCTCTTCTCTTCTCTTCTCTTCTCTTCTCTTCTCTTTTCTCTCTTCTTTTCTCTTCTTTTCTTTTCTCTCTCTTTTCCTTATATATAAATAAGATTATTAGATAGTTTAAATAAAGAAAAAGATATATTAATTAAGAGATATATATAGAGTATAAGAGAAGAATTAAATTATTATAGATAAAAAAAGAAAAAATATATCTAGCGCGAAAGGTTTTAGTAATTGAAAAAAAATTCTATATTAAAAAAAATTACGATATTTTAAGATTACTATTAATGCGAAATTTTTCTTATTCTATAATTTAAAGTACTTTAATTTATTAAAGAAACTATTAAGAAAAAATATATCTAATATAAAGATTTTTAATATATAAAAAAAGAAATATTATATTAAAAAAAGTTATAATATTTTAATATTATTATTAGCGCGATAAACTATTTATATTATATTTAAATTTTTTCTATTTAATAATAAAGAAATTATCTATATATCTTAATTTATAATTATTTTATAAATTTAGAGAATTATCGAGCTTATATTATAATAGAATTATTATAAAAAGACTCTATAAATAATATTCTCTCTACTAGATTACTATTTTATTTAATATTATTATAAAGTTTTTTTTTTATTATATATATATTATAATAGAAAAAAAGAAAATTAATATTTACTATATATAAGTCTTTAAAAAATAGAGAGTTTAATTACGCTATATAACGAGGCGAGAGATCTCGACGAGATTTTAAGAGAGATTATAATTTCGAGTTTTCTCGAAACCTCGACTCTATCTTAACCCGGAAGCGAAGTTTTAAGATATATTCTATTACTTCGATAAACTCTAAGTACTTCTAAGCGACTTCTCTAAATTTAAATATTTTATATTAAAAATAGAGTAAAATAGAATATAGAATATAATATTAGAATTAAAATTAAAATATAAGATAAAGATATTTAGAAAGATAATTAAAAGATATATAAGATTATATTTATAAAAACGCTATAGAAACGTTATAAGAATAATAGTCTCGAGCTAATTTAATTAATAGGCTTAACGAGGGCAACGAGATACTCTCGTTATCTCGATAGAAAACTCTACTTAATCTTATCTCATCCCGTTACGTAGCGTAAGTTTAATATATTTAAAAGAAAATATCGTAGATAGAAGAGCTCTTTAATATTTAAATTAATATAGTATATTCTTTTAATAATACTTCTATATTTTTAACGTAAAATTTATTTAAATAAATGTCGTTTTTTTTTAAATATATTACTTTAATAGATCGATATAAAAAAAAATCTTCTATTTATCTTCGCTATCGATATTATTAATTTAATTAAAAGAAGACTATTAATTTAATCTAATTAGTATATATAATAGAAGAAGATAGAGCTAAGCTTAAAAATCTTAAATTTAAATTTATATTTAATTAGAAATTTAGAATTACTACGCTCTTTAATTAGATCGACTAAATTATCGCGAGTAAATAAATTAACGTTTATAATTAATAAGATATACGCTATTAATATATAAAATAACTTATTTTCTTTCTATTAAAATTTTAAGATTTTTCTTTTAAATTATAGAATGAAATATAGACTTTTAAATAATAAAAAATCTAAATATAGTCTTCTAATTATTAAAGCGTAAGAAATTCAAATATCGCTTATTAAATATCGCTTATCAAAATTCGCTTATTAAAGTTCGCTTATTAAAGTTCGCTTATTAAAGTTCGCTTATTAAAGTTCGCTTATCTATTTACTCGATAGCTCTAATTAAAAAAATAAATTCGAGATTATAAGTTTAATTTAAAAATCTTTACTTCTATTTATATATTATATTAACTATTTAAAATAAGTTATTATTATTATTAGACATTACGCTATATTAATTTAGAAGATAAATAAATAATTATTTAATAAAAGAATTATAATTATATAATTTAAAGCTAAAAATTCTTTAATAGATTTTTATAGAGCTTATTTATTATTTATTTTAATATTTTTAAATCTTATTTATCTAATCTAAGTCTATATCGTTTTAATCTATATTATCTTTATATTCTATTTAAAGATTAATTTAATTACTCTTTTTATAAATATATTTTAATATTAATATAAACTTCTATATTAATATAAGCGTTATATTTAATTAATAAATATAGATTATAAAGAATTACTTAAGAATTCTATTTAGATTTATTATCTAATATCTTAATAAACCTATATTAATAATATATAAGATATTTAAAATCTAATTTAAAGACGATATAATTACTAAAGTCTTTTAAAAACTATTTATTATATATATTCTTATCTAAGTCTTAATAAAATAAAATAATATTTATTTTATTAATAGTATATTAATTATAATTTTTATAAAATATATATTTAATTATAATTATATAGAGATTAAGAAATAAATTTTAATTAGAGATTTTAATATTAATAGTAATATCTATTTTAATAATATTAAAGAATTAATCTTTAAAATATAATATAATAAGAATATAAATATATAATAAGTCTTATTTTTAAAATCTAATAATATAAATATAAATTAAAACTTAATTTATTGATTATAAAGTTAATTAAAGTTAAAACTAATCGATAATTTAATTAATTATATTTCGCTCTTATAAGAATAATTTTTTTTAAATAATATATAAAGCAAATCGATAGAAATTATAATATATAAAAAATTAAATTATATTAGAAGTATTTTTAGAAATTATAATCTATAATAATTATCTAATTAATATATTATTTAAAAAATTACTCTATTAAATAAAAAGAAGAAGAGCTACTATATTATAATAAGAGATAAAAGAAATAAAAGTAAATATAATATCTTTTTCTTTAAGGTATTATTTATAAAGATTTTTAATTTTAATCTAAATATTTTAATAATTAGATTAAATTAATTAATAGCGTATTTATTAAATAAAAGATTTTTAATAATCTTAATTTATTTTAAATTATAAATAAAGTTATAAAGAGATCTAGTTAATTAAATTTAATAAATAAAATAATAATATTCTAATAAAGTTATTTTATAAATTATAAATTTTGTTAATAGAAGAAAGAGAGACTAAGCTATTATTTATTAGTTTAATCGTTTATAATAACTTTATTAATATAAATATTAATAATTACTTAATAGATATTAGCTTAAATAATCTTCTAATTTATCTTTAATTAATAAAGTTTATTATTTTTAATAGCTATATAGATATCGTAGATAAAATATTATAATAATCTATCGTAGTAAAGAAAGCGATTAAACTTATTAAAACAATATTATAATATATATTTATAGAAAATTAATAATTAATAAAATAGAAGAAATAGATAATATAGATTTATAATATAAGTTAAGTATTATTTATATAAAATTATTTTAGTCGATAGTTCTATTAATTTATAGAATAATTTTATTATTATTATATTAATAGATAAAAAGACTTTTACTTAATATAATATTTATATTAGATATATTATTATACTATAACTCTTTATTAAATAAAAATATAAAAGAATAGTATAAGAGTATATAGATTAAATATTAATATAATATACTAAATCTCTTATTACTTCGAGTCTCTATTAAGATAATCTTAATTTCAAATATATTTAAAAAAAATTAATTATATTACTCTTTTAAGTAATAGTAACTTTATCTAAAATAGAATAGTTATAAATATATAAATTATAGTACTATAGATTCTTATAAAGTAATTTATAATTCTATATATTTAAATTAATATTTAATTTTTAAAATATTAATTTAAACGTATTAATATATAAATTAATATTTTTAAAAATTATAATTATTTTATAATAAAGTATTAAATTATTATAATTATAATAGCTATATCTAGTAAAATTAATATAAAAAATTATATTAAGAGATAATTATATTATATTATAATTAACGAGTAAAGATTTATAAATTAAATTTCTATTTCTTTTTTAATTAGAGCTATCGAGTAAATAGATAAGCGATCTTTAATAAGCGAACTTTAATAAGCGATATTTAGATTTCTTACCCTTTAATAATTATAAGACTGAATTTAAAAAAAAAAAAAAATTTCGAAAGCCTATATTTTATTTTATAATTTTAA